GCCGGCCTCCTTCGACCTCGATATTTATCAGGGAAAAAATTCGCCGGCCTCCTTCAAGTTGGGCACCGGGGACATGTTTACATACTAAAAGAGAACCCTGGGCCGACGCCCTTTCCGGGAAAGAATGCACACGTCCGAGCGATGCCAGGAAGCTCAGAACGTACCAATGGCGGGTGGAGGGCGGGTCCTTTCCAGACTGTGGCCCTCCCTTCAGCGCCTCGCACAGTCGTCTCGAAAGTCTGCAGCAGCTTCACCGATGGAAAAGACGGGCCCTGTCCGGACTCTCCGTCTCGCCTCCGCGCAGCGCGCCCTCGTCTTCAAACAACTGCAGCTGTTTCACACATGGAGGGCGGGCCGTCTCCAAAACGGGGCTCTCGCCTTAGCGTCGTCTTCAAACACTGTAACACTTTCACGGATGGAGGGCGAGCCGTTTCCGAAATGTAACTCTCGTCTTAGCGCCGCGCACGTTCGTTTCAAATATTTGCAACCGTTTCTCGGATGGAGGGCGCCTCCTTTTTCAAAATGTGGCTGTGGTCGTAGCGCCGCGCACATTCGCCTTGGACGTTTACCACTGTTCCAAGGATTCGTACGGCCTAATTCCCAGGATTGGTTTTCTGCTACGATGTAAGATTGTCAGGACGCAGCGGTCACACTGAGTCGCGGTGTTAAAGTCTCAGGGACGGCGTTCTGGCACGTTTTAGAACTGACAGAACGCAACGGTCACATTCGACCGCGGCGTTGATGTAGCAAAAACGGTGTTCTGGCACAGTTGAGGATTCTCAGAATATTGTCTTTTCATGGACCACTTCTGGCAATGAAAATAACTTGTTGGGGACCTATGGAGAGGGAACTTGGCGGGAGTGTGCGTCTTGGGTTTACACTGGTCCTCCTCCTCCTCCTCCGCCTCTCGGCCTTGAGGAATCTTGAAGAGTCTGAAATAACCTGATTGACTCTGGTGGAGCCTGGAGAATGTTGGAAGACCTGGAGCAAGTCGGGCGCAGCTCATGAGTCCGCACGTCAAAGCAAGAGTAAGATGCACAGAGGGCGCGGGAGGAGGAAGAGGAGGGGAGGAGGGGAGGTAGGACGGCGGATCTCCATGGATGGTGGACGAGAGGGGAGGGAGAGGAGGTGGATGGGGTGAAGAAAGGTGGAGCAGCATGAGCAGAAGTGGGGGGAAAACGCCATCGACACACTGTCCACAGAACCCTCTTTGGGCATGGGATGTGTCTGCAGGCTTCCCTGGCCGCTGGCACTGCCCAACAGCACACATACGTGCCACACACATTCCTGAGCTCAGGAGGGGCATGGCCATCTCCGTCCTGCCTTGCCCCTCCTTTCCTCGCTCCCTCTCCCTCCTCTCTCCCCCGCTCTTCCCTCCTCCCCTCCCTCATCCCCCCTCCTCTCCCTCCTCCCATCATTCCCTCTCCCCTGCCTCCCTCTCTTGGAAGGGGCTCCCCCCCTCCCAGACGTGGCGAGACCTCCGATGCCGTGCTTGTTCCACTAAAGTTACTCCCCGTGGGTATCGTTCTCTGGCGGTCCCGGGAGGATCGGTGAAAATGGGCCCCGGGAGGCCGAAACTGCCTGGGACCTTCCAGAGGAGGAGGAGGAGGAGGAGGAGGAGGAGGAGGAGGAGGAGGAGGAGGAGGAGGAGTCGCACCCATTCGAGCTCAAGTTCGTCTGCTGGCAACTGACTGCTGCTACGCGCTGGGCCTCCGCTGTCTCGCCTGAACTCTGAAAAGGGGACTCACGTTTCCGAGCCAGCCCAAGACACGCGATATTACTTCTGAGCGGGGGCGGAAACGGTGGTACGGCGTCCAGCCCCTGGCTGGTACGCCCCACGCGGGGCGGGCATTCACTTCAGTGGGCTAGCCAGGTCCACCGTCGACCACGGCAGAGTGGGCGCGCACGCGACCCCACCCTACAGCGGCACAAAGGCAGTCCCCCTAACCCGTCATCTACTTAACACGCTCTATCCTAGCTTCACTTGACGCACGAGCTTGCCCCTGGGGGCACGGCCAGCTTTATTGTTAAAGCCTGCTGCTCGGAAGATTCGATACAGAGCCTGCTCTACTGCGATCACTTTCCCGTGTCCTAGCTGGGCGAACTCGAGCGGGCTGCGAATGACTCGAACCTCTGCCCTGCGCTTTTCTCCCTCCTCCACGTCCTTGTCCTCTAACACCTTCCACAGACTCTCCAGCTCCTCGTATGCGTTGGGCCCTGCCTGGTTGGGACCTTGACCGTAATCTTCGAGATGCTGCTGTCTGCCGTCGAGCTGGTTCCACACTCCTTGATCCACGTGCTGGCCTGCTCCTGATCTCCTTTCATCATCATTAGGAGCAGCCTGCGAGGAATATCCGCCAGCTCCTTCACCGAGTCCTGAGCCTTGCCTGGCTTGTCGAGCCAACTGTTGAAAGCGCTGAGAAGTGCGGCAAAATTCTGCAATGCTGGCGGACCGAGCCCGTGCGTGTTGTTCTTGCCCTCCACCTTCTTCTGGTACTCCTGGTAGGTCTGCTTCAACGTGTCCACGTACTGGTCGTCGCTCGGTCCGTACACTACCAGGCCCGATCCGAACTCCAGCGTGCGCACTCTCGATTCCAGCTGTCGAAGCAGGCGAGCGTTCACATGGGAGTCCTCGACGCCCTTGCCCGAGCCCTTGCGCGCCTTGTTGCTGCCCCCCTCTGCGTTGGCCTCCGTGGCTACCCGCTTGAGCGCGCTCGGCAAGAGCCACTGAGCCTCCATGCAGCTGCTCGAGCTCTTCCAGCAGGCCAGGCAGCTCGAAATCCAAACAATGATCCGCCAGGTGCTCCTGCAAATGCTCGGACAAAATGTGTATACGGAGCTCGTCGTTGTCGACCCCTTCAAAGTCATCGCAGGCTGGGCACGCGTAGGACGAGGGTTGAATGATCTGTCCGTCTGCGCGCCCTCGGTCTACACAGCATAGGCCCGTGCTGAGGCTCTTGTGCACGTGTCTTTTTGCATAGTCAATCGAAGAGAAATTCGGGCCACAAATTACGCACTGACTGGATGCGCAGCATAGTCTCCCCAGGAGTTGCTTTCCGTGAGTGCCTCCCTTGGTTCTTAGATAATGGGCCGCCAGCTGTTTTTTTTTTTGTCATGAAGCGTTCTGTGCAGGGCTCTCCGTCGGCTCGCAGGGCCTTGCATTGATGGGGTCCTCCGCTCTCGATCTCCTCCTGCCTCCTCTCGTGCTGTGCGATGTTGAGGAAATAGTGCGATACGATCCCTCCCACATCCAACTGAACGAACTCCTCCCTCCCCTCGAATAGTATTCCCTCCAACCCATAGATCTCCAACAGCCTCGCCCCGTCATCGAAGAGTTCGATCGCTCGTATGTCTTCGCAGAACTGTTCGCACCACGGGTTCGCCTTCGCGTCGTTGCTCAGATACTTTTCGAGCTCGGTCATATCCTCGTCCCGAGAGCACCCGAAAACGACCGCTCGAAATTGAGCACACCGTGGGGCCTCTCGTAGACACGCTTGGAGCCATCGGAGCCTTCGAACTCTCATTTCCACATGTGGGGCCACGAGGCGCACTTTTGCAAGGGCCTGTAGGTCGGTGAGGGTGCGAACGGAGCCGTCCTCCTGCCACTGTGCTGCACCTCGCAGCAGTATCCGTGCACGCATAGCAAGACAACGAAGAATGGGTTGCCAGTCGCGCGGGCGCATGGGGCCCGCTCGTGCACACAGGACCTCCGCTCCACTGTAACACGCATTGGCGACATACCCTTTGAGCATGTTGATCTTCCAACCAAGAGACACTCCACTCTGCCAAAACTTAGAGAGATTATACCAGGCTGTGCGCCCAGCATGTAGTCTGTACTCAATCTCACACAATGCAAACCTCGAGTGTATGCGCGGGCCCAAATAGCGTGCACACACTGTGGCACGCCCAGCTAGCTCCTGATCTCTGAGGAACTTCGCTTCCAAGAAAGCTGCATTGGCGCCTGTGAAGTGTAAAAAAAAAAAAAAAAAAAAAAAAATCTCCTGCTTGCTTACATTCTGCGTCATCTGAATTTCGGCGAGCCTCTCAGTGATGACTTCATTCTGAGAGTCTCCCTCCGCCATGACGTTGACTGCGTTATTATTGACATCGAAATTGTCGGCTACATCGCCCACATACACAGTAAAAGAACCTTGAATCCACTGAGACGACCATGGGCACTTAAAACTGGCAGCACGGTAATTATACATATTAATCGTACCCATTCCCATTTGTCTGGCATAGGCACCTACAAAAAGTCGGACCATGGCTGGATCTCCAGGCATGCATCCCTGCTGCAACCAAAGGACCTCGTTATCAGCACCTGGTAGCCGAAAACATGCAAGAGTGACTCGAAACTTCATAATCTGCCAATCTTCCTCTCGAAAAACTCGTCCCACTTCGTGACATAAGCTGTCGTGGTCTATACTGTAGAACGCGTTGGTGGCGTCGTGCAACCTCTTAATGTGGGACTGCCCCGCCTGCAGCTTGCGCCAAGAATACGCCTGCTGCACCACCGCCGCTGCCTCCCTCCGTCGCCCTCTGAGGCAACCGTAGATCCATGGTTCAAGGGCAGGTGGTGTTCCTCGGGCTAGGAGACTGCGGTAGTACGTCTTGGCGATGGTGCACACCAGCATGATAAGTCGTTCACCATCCACGCCCTCCTTGTTGTTGCCCTTGCCGATCTTGCAGGCATCGGACAGGATCCAGGACAACGGGAGCTTGCCACTGGTGCGGATACCTGTGAACAAGCAGGCGAGCAGGAAATAAACAGAGTTGGCCGAAATGCGCTCCTGCTGCTCGTAGCCGACGCCGTGGTGGTGAGTCGCTCTACGCTTGTTGATCCAGTTGGGGAACATGGCCGTGCGGAGGAGCTCCGCGATGATGCTGTCCCGAGGTGCGACTCGCCAAAGTCTGAGACGCCACACCTGGTTCTTGAAAGCGTCGATGTCCTCTTTGATCTCCTCCGCCGTGACCGAAGTGTAGGCCTCGGGCAGCTCGTGTAGCAGATTGTTCATGTCATTGAAGCTGACGATTCGTGCTGCAGCCCCACCCTCCGCCCCAGGTTGTTGCATCCTGGCAATCCACTCCTGTGTCGTTCCGCTGGTGTTGAGCTGTCTGTAGTTTCGCCGTCGTGGTCCTCTCCCTCGCGCAGCGATGAGACGAGCCAACCTATGCACCGCGTGGAAGTCCTTGGCCTTGCGGGCCTCCTCAAACGCTGCAACTCGATCTTGCTGTACCCGCTGCCAATGACACCTCTTGTGCTGTCTGAGCCACTTGCTGATCGTCGTGATGCGCACAGTAAGCAGCATCTGAAGGTCGTCGTCATCCTTTTGGTACGCCCAGGCCAGTCGGTCGCGCACTTGCCTTCTCTGGTGAAGCAGGTCTTTGAGCTCCCTGGCGTAGTCGGCGTGGTGCTCTGTGTATCCCTCCTTCTGTGTGCAGGTTGTGAGAGCCGCGTTGGTGATGGCCTGGACTAGTAGGTCGTTGGCCTCCACTGCGAGTGTATATCCAGTCTGGGAGTTGAGCCAGGCCGCCTTCTGCTCGATCGTGGTGGTCACTGCTTCCATGAACTCTTTCCTTCTGTATCCCCGCTGGAGTAGGGCATGGGCAGCCGTAGGCTCTATGCGCTCCGATTGGCGCACAACTGCGGGAGTCATGTCCGTCGCCCACTCGAGTCCAAGCCCCAGCGGTAGATGATCCCATTCTCGTCCCCATCGATGTGGCTGAAGTCTGCGCATGCTGCGCCGAAAGGTAGTACACCATCTCATCGCTGGAAGAAGGCCCTGCGGCAATGCTATGTAGTCTAGCGTCTTGCGGGTGCCACAGGAGGCGACGAAGGTATAGCCAGCATCTGCCATCGTGTTGGCAAGGCATAGGCCGTAAGACTCGAGCACAGGCTTAAGTATCTGGGCTGTTCGCTTCTCGTCTGAGCCGAGGCCATACGGACCGACCACACCATCCAGCTCCTCACAAAACGTTGAGTTGAGGTCCATGGTGAGGATGGGAATCCACCTGCCCGCCAGGGCGTCCAGCTGCTGAGTCAGCCATTTAATCATTCTCTCACAACAATTAGTGTACTTGAGAAGCTGATCTTTGTCCCTGGTGCACGGCGGGAAGTAGAGGGCGAAAACCGCGAACCGAACCGAACCGAACCGGAGGAGGAGGAGGAGAAGGAGGAGGAGGTGGAGGCGGAGGCGGAGGAGGAGGAGGAGGATGAGGGAGGAGGAGGAGGCGGAGGAAGAGGAGGGACCTTGAGATCCGACGCTGCGAAGAGAAGTGCATCACATTTAGTGACAATCACTAGGGGGACGATCAATGGCATGAACATTGAAACTCGGAAGTCCGCGCGGATTTCTCGGATCGGGCCGCTGGCGTGCTCCGTGCGACAGGGAGGGGGGTCCAGCGCCGATCCGAGAAATCCGCGCAGACCTCCGAGTTTTGATGTTTATGCTTCTGTCGTTTCCCTATCATAGTTAATGGAAATCACGACCGACGCCCCGGACCCCACCTGTGCGGTTGTGGCACTTTGCGAGCCGCGCCGATCTGGGATGGCCCTCTGGACCAAAAAAAAACGCGCGAAAACACCCGGCGTGAAAAAAAAATGCGACACCCAGATCTGAGTCGGCGGCGAGAAGGGGCGGGCCTTCTCAGAAGGCTCGGAAGTCTTCTGGCCTTCTGAGAACGTTCTGAGCCTTCCCCGAGGACACAGCAAAATCTCTCAGGAGGCCAGAGGGCGTCTCAGAAGTCCCGCCGCCTTCTGAGAGGCCTTTCCCTTCTCACTTACCCCCTCGCTCGCCGTGGAACAACTGCGCGGGAACGCCCAGTGTGAAAAAAAAATGTAACGCCCAGATCTGAGGGGAGCTCGCCCTCTCCCGTCGCAGGCGACGCCGCTGGCGGCACGGTCGGACCTAGAACGACCGAGCATCCTGCAAAAGCATGAGACCCTCCGCAGGCCAGAACACACAAACCATCCAAGGGTATCCTCCCCAGGATGCACAAGAACATCCAAATCCAACAAACTCGCAGAACATCAGGGCGACGATCAAAAACGGGTCTTACGCGAGCTGGCATGGCGACCTTGCCAGGTGGCCTACGCGGGCCGCCGGCGCGGCACGCTACATGAGAAACGAGGGCGCTTACGCGCGACCTTGCGCGAGCAGCTTATGCGCCCATGTCGGCGCAGTCGACCCCACTGTTTCTCGTCGCTCATTTAGGCATCCTCGCCGATCCAACCTCGATCCCATACAGTAGTGACCCGACCACAAGAAACCTTCCACAAGAAACCCAACCCTAAGACCCCAGGACGTCCATTGATCTCTGGCGTGGGACCCCCGCGCTTCCCATCGCAAAACCATCGAAACCCCAAGAAACCCAGGGCACCCTGGGGGCGAGCAGGGTGGTCCTTGGCATGGGCTCCCCCTGCACCCTCCCCGAACCGACATCGATCCCATACCTCTGTCTTCGGCGACACGTAAGAGTGACCCTAGGCAAGAGTGTCCTTTGGTACGCGGCCTTAGGGGGGCCCGTGGGGGCCTGGAGCAACCGCGCAAGCCGAGGCCGTCGGATTGCATCAACGATCGGTGGGGCGCGCTTCGACAGATCCCTAGCGCTCTGATGCGATCGCAGACTGGTGCAGCGTGCGCCGACACGAGGCCGAGCGCACTCCTCAAGAAAATCTGTCCGACCCCATTAGGGCCAACACT